ATATATGAATGAAATTGATCAAGCTGTTGCTAAAATCCACGATTTATGGAAATAATTTTGGAGCATGGACTGCCTTTGCCACCATCACAAGGAGCTACTTTTAGAGCAGCAGGCAGAATGCCAGCTGCTTCTCCCAATCTCTTCTCCCATATAGGGAAAGGTGGATGACTCAGTACAGAAACCTCCCTCTCCCCAGCCCCCCACTGGCTGGGGTCTGACTCTTCTGGAACACATTTTATTTCCACTCTTAATAAGCTTTAAAACCAAGCTATTAGAGTATTGTCTCTGTTTCTGACACTTTATTTTATGCATTTGTCTCCAATTGGCAATTAAGGCCTACATTTGCCAGGATGTATATATCCCTTAAAAAGCAAAGCATTTTTCCAGTTGAAGAGTTTTGATGATTTTTTTACACACACACACACACACACACACACACACACACACACACACACACTGCATCCTTGTTGCTTTTGTTATTAGGTGGCATGGACGTAGTTCTGACTGCAGTGGGAGGGAGCACCTATTTGCTGAACAGTTCATTTTTTTAACAACACAGGATGCCCCTTCCCAGGTAATAGGAATAGCTTAATAATGTAATCTTAAGTATCCCTAAAGTTTTGTTAGTAATTGAGAAGGAACTCTGCTGGAACCCCAAGGCTGGTTGCCTAGGCAAGGGATCAGTATTGACCCTGAAGAACCAACAGTTGATTTCCTTAGTATATAAGACATATCCACATTTTGATGCATTCTAAGTTATTGTTCAGTTTGAGCCGTATCTAAGGGTTAGCTATGTTGGCTATATTATTTTTTTTCTCTTCTGTATCTTATAGACCATACACACTTAGGAAAAAAAATTTATATGTAAACGTGCAAATCTTTAGAAGGTGGGCTTCAGCATTATAATAAAAATACCTTGGTCTAATCTCTGAAATTGCATAACTATACTAGAAGTGAGCCTCTGACACTTTGCCCATAAAGGAGCAGTCCTACAGCAGTGCAAGATTTTAATTTTGAGCACCATTGGGCATTTATTTTGTTGGCTTGGATGCCATCTAGTGGCTGTGATGTTACTTTAATGCACAAGGAGAACAAAGAGATAATAAGTACGTCTTCATGAAGTGTTCCTTTGTCCTGCTTCTTGTTCTGTTTGTTACAGTGCTTTAATTCTGCTGCCTAGTTTGATGCTGTACTTGCAAGAGCTTATGATTTGGGAAAAACGTATGTGGCTGCGGAATCTCTTTTTGTACGTTAAGGGTTTTCCCCACTCTTTCCCCAAGATGCAAAATAATTTCTAAAAGTTTTCAAGAAATCCTTCATATGGAATATGAAATATTAAGTTCTAAATCCTGTAGTTATAGTAAGATGTGTTTATAAGAACACATTAGGACCTGCATTAAGTCCACTGATACATAAAAGACCTAATTCAATTTAGATGCCACAGTTACTGTATCAAAATATTGGAGAAACAAAGCACATTTTCTTTTGGATCAATGATATTACAAGAAAGGTAAGGGAAGATACTATTGGCTAAAAAATTAACACAGCAGCATAGTCTTGCATGATTTAATTAAAGGTTTTATGCACAATTGCTCTTCACTTTTATTCTTTCAATTCATTTGAAATGCTGGAGGTCCTCGGACCCTGTTGATTCACAGGATAATTATCTGCAAAGTGAACAGTACAGGAAGATCTGGCAAGCAACACACTGAGACTTAATAATGGGCTGGATCTTTGAAAATTGTGGAGAAAAACATTCCATAAAAAATCCTGGTGAACCCCAGTGATAGTTGGCTAGATGCTCAAAATGTCGCTGATTGTTCCATTCCAAGCCCACCTTCCTTCTGGTCATGTGATCTGCAATAGAGCATAACCACTATCCCCGTGGTTTCCACTGTATATCAGAGATGCAACAGATTAATATACTCGATCAGATAGAAGAGAATATAGAGGCCTCCTGTAGCCAATTCTGATAAAAAGGTTGGAAAGAATCCCAGAAGCCATGATCTGCATTTTATCTCTCCTTTTTTTTAATTTAAAATTGTATTGATAGAGATCAGGGGTTTTATAAATATTTGTGAATGACATATTACAAGTTGTGTATGCTAATTATGGGACCATATGTTTTCTAGTAGCACACACCGTTGCTGTCTCTCTTAAGAATATAGGGCAATGTATACCAAAATCACCGGAAGCTAAGGCTTCTGTGAGACACTTGTTCCATCTTCCAAAAGGGAGATTAACCAGGGGCTTTGTTTTAAATGCCTGGAAGCTGCTACTGCTTTTCCCTACTCTTCTCTAGGTTGCAAAAGTCATTCTTCAGACTATTGATTATGGTTTATTTTGCTAATCTGAATTTCTTTGTACAAAAAGCTTGAGGGTTCTTTGTACAAAAAGCTTGAGGGTTTTTTGTAGATTTTGGAGCACTGAAGGTCTTTTTTATATCCATAATAATGTAAGATTTGAGCATAATATATTTGGAATGCCCTCAATAATACTATTTTTCTGTCTCTCTTTCTCTTATAGAGCCTACAGTGAGAACTTTTACTCCATTTTATTTCCTAGTAGAACCAGTGGACACTCTGTCAGTTAGAGCTTCTTCCGTTATACTGAACTGTTCAGCATATTGTGAATCACCTCCAAAAATCGAATGGAGAAAGGATGGGACTTTCTTGAACTTGGTATCAGATGACCGCCGGCAATTGCTACCAGATGGATCTTTGTTAATCAACAGCATTGTCCATTCCAAGCACAATAAACCTGATGAAGGTCATTACCAGTGTGTGGCAACCGTGGAGAGTCTTGGCACCATCGTAAGCAGGACAGCTAAGCTTACAGTTGCAGGTGAAAACCTTATTTGGATAGCTATTGCTTACATTTTCCAAGTCTGAGGTTAATGTTTCCGCAGAAATAAATACATATTGTATATTGCAGGAGAAATAGGTTGAGAAGGCAGTCTCCAAAAAAGTAATATCTATTTTAAAAAGGGGCAGTCCTCGGAGGCCACTTCTTACTTCGAAGCGTTACAGCAGTATTTCTCAACCTTGGGAACTTTATGTTGTGTGGACATCAACTCCCAGAATTCCCCAGCCAACATGGAGAATGGCTGACTGGGGAATTCTGGGAGTTGAAGTCAACATATCTAGTTGTCATGGTTGAAAAACACTGCTTTAGAGGGTTAAATTTAGGGCAAGTGTTAGTGATAATCTTAAATTTACAGTAAATGTGTGGGGGGGGGAGTGCCTCCTAGTCTTAAAATCAAGTCCAATTTACATGGTGTCTCAACTTACAACTACTACAACTTATAGGCAAAATTGTGGGCTCGATTGTAGTCATAAATCGAGGATTAGGTCTGGTTTGTATTATATATCACTTTGCCTTATTCATATTCAGGTTAGTTACAAATACACATTAAATAGCTAAATAACCTAATATGTGATTCCTGATTCCACCATTTCCTCCCCACTCTATGGAGGTCATTTCCTGATTATTATTATTTTTAATATTAAAGTGAAATAGAGAACAATGAACGGTTGGGTGGGCATTGTCTCAGACTTTTCCACATGAAGCAGATATAGTGTTTTTCCTCCTTGGGGGTTTTTCCTGCCTGCTATCATTACAGAATGCCTTGTGTTTGAGTGTACTTCACAGCCCTTTCCCAACCCCCACTGGTAAAATAATACTTTGTTACTGACAAGATGGAATTATGGTCTCCAGTCCTTCTGATAGCCGAGATTCTCATTTAATTTGGGAGATGATCTGTCTCATAAGATCATTGTTACTGCACTTTGATTTGTTGAGGCTGTCAGGAAAGTCCAGAGCCTACTTTTCTTTAGTAGAGAATGAAAGTAATGAACCTTCATTTTACTACTTTCCTCATTACTTTGTGGGCTTTGATATCTTCCAGTCAAACAAACATTTCTCAGTCAAATAATTGGGGAGTTTTAGAAGCTGCTAATTTATCAGCTTCAGGTTAAACAGTCAGAATATGTTTTAATTGAATCTATTGCTTCTCAGCAAATTTGTGCAGCCAAAATTATTTTTATAGTACATTAAACATCTTGAAAGAGTGATTAACCATGGACTGGTTTAAGGCATTAAAATTTTTCCATCTAGGTGAATTGTTACTTTGATCACCATTTGCCATTATGTTGTTTGATTTCTCATGATTTAGAACAGAGTATAGCGTTAGTGTAGTTGGTTTCACAATCTGCCAGATGTTTAGACTAGATTTGACATTTTTATCCACCTATCAAATCCTTTCCAGCAACCTGGGATAGGTAGATGTTGTTGAGATGTTGTTGTTGGGTGGTGTTAAAGGTCTCATCACAAGATGTAAGCTGTTGCAAGGTAAAACTGCTTTTTCCTGTTGATTGATGGTAATTTTATCAATGCTGATGGGGCTCCAGATGTTTTGGGATTTGCATCCAAGGTGCTCATGACTATTGATACTACCTTTGCTTTCTTTTGCCACAGTCTTCCTACCTCAGGTTGTTGTATTTTGTGATTTTCTTTTCTATTCTGCTGCCTCCAGGTACTGTCAGATTTCTTTCTTTCTTTCTTTCTTTCTTTCTTTCTTTCTTTCTTTCTTT